TGGAGAGAGTTCTTTTCCAGTTTGGGGCTGAATCGAATCTTCGCGCGAAGAAGGCGGTGATCGGAACCAGTACAGAATGACGGGACTCCCGAAGGCACCACCTTCTGTTTGTCAGAATATGGTCGATCTCCACATGAGTAATGTCGCTAGGAGACTCCCATGTGCAGCGGTAGCTTTCTTTCTTCTGGAAAAACGAGTTTCCATGGAGAAGACGCGCTGCTGACAAGAGTCCTGTGAGACGGTTTCCATTCTCATTTCTTTCTCCTTATCCAAAATTTCCGATCCTATATTCGCTCTCGTTGGCCTTTCCTATTCTGGCATTGAAGTCTCCAACAACAAATTTATGATATGCTTTATCATTGTGGATGACTTCCTCCAACTAATGTAGAACGCATTTAATTCGTTGTTATCAGCTACGTCGATCGGTGAGTAGCAGCCGATGATAGTGATTTCCTATGATGCGACAGTTGAAGACGGAGGACGGCTATGCGAGGGGAAAGGATCACGTATGAGTCGACGAGACGGATGGGTGGACGAGTGGACGACAAAGCCTACACCACCGACATTTCGTGACGGAACCTTTTCTCCGCGGATCACAAGGGTCTCGTCGTTTAGTTGACGTATGTCGGTTTTCTTGATTTTTATTTCTTGTAATGTGATCACGTGAAATTCAATGTGATCTGCGGCTACAAGAAGGGCGTGAAGATCGGTGTCCGTGGAGAGTGTTCTGGCATTATATGTGCATAGTAAGAAACAATCTCCATGGTGTGTCTTGCGTGTGTTCGTCAGATCTGGTTCCAATGACGTCCTGCGTAACCCGAGATTTTCTTGCCTCTCACCGGTCGTCTCACTGCCTGAAGTCATAGACGGGAGCACCCAGTGTGCGGGGTACTGAGGCTGGCCTATTGCTGGTCGTGCACCTTGGTCCTTCCTGGAGTCCTGACGTAACCTTGCAAGGGGGTGTCGAGATCTTCACCACGATGTGGATCAGAGGGAGGTGTGTTTTTGGCGACGAATCCTTCGCTCGGTCTTCCTACTAGCTGATTCGGAGAGGTGTTAAAACTGAAATCAGAAACGAAAGTAGGAATGTAAAAGTAACCGACTGCTCAAGGACGATGTAGAAGCCGAAATATTTGCTTTTAATGGAACATAAAGTGAGAACACAAGAATTCTTATGGTTTTATTCCTTATTTTGGATGTGGTTGTGAAGATTGGAGGTTTTGCTTTCCATTAATCATATGTATACCTCTCAATCGTATACCGCATCATGGCTGGGAGTTGTTCCTGGGTGTCGGGCAGCGTTGTACAGCGAGTGTACTCATCTCCCTTCAGAATCTCCCAAGCTAAGAAGTCCGGCGTTCCCATCAGGAAGCCCAACTAACAGTAGACCAATACGCACAACCAGTGAGGGTCGTCCGTCCAAACATCTGGGTATTATTAGTCGTGTAGGTTTTGTTATACGTCCAAAGGTAACCTTTTCGTGGCCAGTCATGTATTTATAGATTGGATTCCTTGTGAACGTTGATGATTTGGGGATGTTGCTAGGTTTTAGCACCAATGCTAACTTTTGGCTTTAGCTTTTATGTTTGTGGTTTTTGCTTCTATTTCTACATATATTACCATGAGAAACATGTTCGTCTAGAAGTTTTAGTACCGAGGTGAATGGTGTGGTTTGCTTTCCACTTCCAACTCATATGACGTATTTTCTTAGTTGAATCTATTTTAATCTGTAGCTTTACTTAAAACGTAGTATAGGTTGGGTTGTTATTGTATATCTGTGTATATAGCTTCCCATTATTTGTAATTGGTAATGGGGTGTTGGTAAGGGACGCGTGTAGCGCAGTGGTCCGAAACGCCTTCCAATACACGTGAGATCAATCCTAGCCCCAGGCCCACTAAGTGCTCCATTCCTCTAGGGTCGACAATCGCGTTTTCGGCATGAGGCGGGTATTTTGTCTGTGAGAATTGCTTATGCATGTGGTATTTGCAATGGTTTAGCATGAATAGACTGGACTCTAAGAAGAAATCACCGGTTTTTTTTTCTTCTTTATCTTTTGACGGTTCACGCAGCGATCAATTTTCGAGTGTGCAAATATTGAATCCACAGTCCACTGACAAACAACATCGCGGCAATTTTTTGAACACGTAGTTTGTATTCTCGATATTCTTGTTGAGCAAACACAAGGTGTTACTTTATTCTTTATTTCGTTAAAGCCGAAGTTTTAGCAGTATCGCCTTCTTCAATACAAAGCCCATGCTGACATTAAGATGTTGGTATGACACATAGATTGATGCTGCGGTTTGAAATATCTGGGCAGGTGAAATAGCTCTTTATTTGTCCCCAATATATCGTCATACAGTTATTCATTGACATTTAGTGCTCTTTCAGTTTGTAAACTAATATCCTCTACTCTTTCAAGGGTAATGAACATGTACTCGTTATTTTTAGTTCTTGCGTAGGTTGTAGAATGAGTGGTTCGAATCCAGGACATCGCTTTTGAATCGAATGATTCCACTCGACTTTAGCGAACACTATGTCATCTGTTTAGCATATAGTCAGTGACCGGATAGATAGATAGAAACCTGGATAAGAGACAGGCGAAAGGAAAGAAACGCATGATGTGATGATGAACGCGTTAGCCACCTGAAAGGGTGATAGCGTATTCTTTCCCCACCGCAGACATCTACAGTCCGGAGTTTTGCAAATATCTCATCATCGTTATGGTTATATTGCACGTAATACCCTGCTGTGAAAAATTGTAATAGGCAGCAAATAAAAAGTCAAAATAGTGACCGGTTTGTAATTTGAGTAGCTGAAGATTCGGACTAGATAACTGTTTTGAAGATCGCTTTGACTATCGTTGTCTGTCGGTATTTGTGGAGCGGACGGAACTGAGGAGTAGTCCCACTTCACGCTGACGATGTGTCACTGGTTTTTTGAGTCACGCGATCCCCAGTGTCCCTCAAAACGGTCTTTGACTCCGCTACAAACATTGTTGAAATGTGTCTTTTTCTTGTTCAGCAATCGTTGTCTGTTTAAAGCATTGTTTTCTGTGTTAGCAAAATTCTCCTACTAATTTCTTTATGTTGATGTTCTTGTTATTTCAGATGTTCTTTCTAAGGAAAGGCAAAGAGCGGGTTCATACAGCTGGTAGTCACGGACACAAGCCACCTGTTCCTTCGAAGCGTTCTCATTTCACTACGAGCGATAGCGAATCAGATTTGAATATTGTAGAACGGAGAGATGTTCTTATTGAGGCAGCAGATTCTATTTACGATATTCCGAAATCTAAGCTTTTCATCGAGGATGTTGGTGCTTCGGAGGCACATATCGCAAAAGGTACGTTCCTCACCACGTTCTACACAGTAATTCTTTCTTTCTTTTTTTTTTTTTTAAAGAACCTTAGAACATTTTGCCGATCTAGGTATTTTTGTGTTTACTCACGTTTTGTTACTCGCTTTTAGTGAAAGGGTTTGGTAGTTTTATGATTACCGAGTGGGTTGGATCCCTGTTTTTTATTTTCAAATTTTATATTTTATCTCGTATGAAATGCTGAGATATTTGCAAAACTCCGGACCGCAGGTGTATGCAGTGGGGAACGAACACGCGTTGTTGTCTTTACCGGGGAGCAGCACACTTCACCACCACACCGACCCGGATGGTAAGGACAACAGCGCGTGTTCGTTCCCCACTGCATACACCTGTGGTCAGGAGTTTTGCAAATATCTCAGCATTTCATACGAGTTATATTTCACAACATAATCTGTCATTAAGAAAAAAAGGCAATAAATAAAAGGGTTAAGTTTATATTTTATATTGGTATTCGCGTGTGGCGCAGTGGTTGGAGACGCCCTGCGACACACAAATCAGATCGACTCCCGCGCCTCTGGCTCACCAAGCCCCCTATCCCTCCGAGGTCGGCAAATTAGCACCAAACTTGTCTGGGAGGACAGCAGCACTGGCTCGATACATCGGTAGGCTGCCGCGAGTGATTGTAAAGGACAGATATGCATTCGATCACCTCCAACGATACTTAAGGAAGTCGAATGCTTGGCGCATCCTTCAGGGATTGATCAAAGTCGAGACCTTTATCCTTTATCCTTTTTATATTGGAATCCTGGAAGTACACAGCTTAGATGACATCTTGGGCTACGCACTTTTTTTCTTCATCTTTGGAGTCTTCAAATGGGCATGTCCAGAATCTGTGCTATTACGAGGTCACTTACTTTTCTGAAACGGCTCGGAAACCTGCCTCACGATCTGAGAAGTAGTCGATGAGCGAACTTCGCTTTGTGGTATTTAATGGGTGAACTACTTTTCTTATTATTGCACCATTTCCCGTCCATAATGTCGTTCCTCGAGTTATAGTTGTCTTTTGAATTAGAGAACAGTTATGTTTTTGGTATACATTTCCAGTATGCAACTCTTTTTTTTCCTTTGTTTCATTCTTTTTGTCCTTACTTAGCGCAGTAGGATTAGCTTCAGTGGAGTGACTGCCGATAGTGAACGTTAACCTTTTGTCTCAAGGAAGAACCGTTGCCATTGCCTCTTTGTTGTAGTTACAAGCGGTACGCTTAGAAACTAGCTGTGACTAAGGAAACAAATATTTGTTATTTTTGAGACGCCTGACGATTTTCTCCTGTTTAGACGAAGTACTGGGGCCATCAGTGAAAGGGTTTGATTCACCTAAGGACTTCAATATTCAGGTTAGATTACTATTCTACATAAGAAATCACATGTTATGTTTGCGCATTTATTGTAAAAATGGGCTCATGTAGCGCAGTGTTCGGAGGCGTCCTACAATACACATGGGATCGATCCCCGTGCCCCTCCCACCAATCCTATCCCTCCAGGGTTGGCAACTTGTATGGGAGGATAGTAACACTGGCTCGATACATCCTTAGGCCACCGTGAGTTACTATGAAGACCAGATATGCATTGAATCGCCTCCAACGATGCTTATTGAAGTGGAATGCATGGCACATCTCTCAGGGGGCTGATCAACGCCGATAGCTTTATCCTTTATCCTTTAATTGTAAAAAAATAACTACGATGTGATAGATTCATGCAATACTGACTGTGAATGTAAAGTCAGTCACTCTGGCGTTGCAGTGTGTTATGTTGTAATTTCGGCTTTTAACAAAATTTCTTTAGGGCCTTACCCTACCTGCGTTAGCTGCTGTACAAGTTAAAATCCGTACATTGGTGCTGCACAAATGTGTTACGGGTGTGTTTTTTCCTCATTTCATGCAGCTTTCTGGCGTGGGTTTCTACAATGTTCCGTTAATTAAGCTTCCGTTTTGCTTCACTTGTTTCACGTCAGATGAATTTCTTCTTCTTCATTGCTTCATAGTCTTATAGCCTCGTTTGCAGAACGTTGTGCTCTGATCTTTGTTTTTATTCGATCTGATTTAAAAAAAAAAAAGATAGACGAATGATGTAGTAACTCCGGATTCTTTATGATTCGAAAATCCGAAATTCTGGTCTAAATTTATGACTATTCAGGTGATTTTGGGTTCTCAATACGTCGTGTACAATTTTCATCTAACAAGCTAGGTGGAGTCCGAACAGTGGTGTTTGCAGAGCCTTCGGAGGTGTGGGCAGGTCCACCGCGTCCCGACGACTTAAAGTTGGCAGTTTTCTTGGGTTTTTGCCGTTTAAGATTTTGCCATATAATTAATTATGTTTTATTTTTTTATATTTCAAGCGTTTTTCAAATGGCCGTGACGAGCAACAATCAACATCTGGTCAATTTATACTAAGCTGATCCATATCAGACGTCTTCCGCTGCCGCTTAGTGGCAAAGATTTCCTCGAGGAATAGTTGTCAAGATGCTTTTAAAAGATGATAGTCCGTTAGAAGGAGGTCCAGCATGAACTTCTTGGTGTATCCTTTGGATGGAACACGTTGTCGTAGTCGAACACGCTCATATTCTCCAGCATTAGTTGTGTAGCGTACCTTGGAGAGTTGTGGAAATAGATTTTTTTTCTTTGATCAATTTTGGGACATCCGCTGCAGTTATCATAGGATTTCATCGGTTTGATGGCAATTCCATTGTGCTGTGATAGGGTTGGCACCCATTATGAAGCTTTCTGACTTTTCTTTCTTCTTAAAAATTGCTATTGGCTATTGGACTGTGAGTGATGACTCTTTACCGGAGGCTCTTAATTGTTTTCGGGTGAGGAGCTCTGATTCTTCGCTTTAGTTCGTGGTTGTAGACTTCTGATAGGCATAAACGACTTTGTGCTTCACGAAGACTCATATCTCCGTTATGGAACCTTGCGAACCATCTATATATTGTACATTCTGGAATATTTTCATGTCTTATGTTTTAACGCTATTTCGCCTTGCTGTCCTTGCTTTCTGGGCGCGTGTGGTGCAATGGTCCGTTTGATACGCATGAGGTCGGTCCTCGTGCCCGTGCCCCCAGCGAGGTTTTTGTCCCTCCTGGGCAGGTAAATTGGTACCAGATTTATCTGGGAGGATAGCAGCGTTGGCTCGTTACATTGGCAGGCCACCACGAGTTATTGTAAAGGCCAGATATGTTATTCAGTCATATCCAAACGATGCTTAATGAAATTGAATGCATGGCCACTTCTGAGGGATCAATCAAAGCAGAGAGCTTTGTCCTTTTTGTTGTTGTTACTTTTTTTTGGACTTTTAATATAAGGCGATACGATTTTTTGCAAAAAACTATTTCGTGGCAAATTGTTAAGATGGATTACGTTAAAATTTGTACGGTGAAAATACTAGCAAAATATAGCATATTTGTTACGAATTGTCTTTATAAAATTCGCGATGACAATTCGCAATCGTTTTGCACCAACCTGTATGTTCCGTTCTATGTTTTTAGCAATAAAAGTTTTTTTTTGTAGGAACCGACTTTTGCCTGGTGACCAGTTAATTAAGATTGATGGCCGAAATGTGGATACGATGTCCCGTGAGGAACTCCAGAATGCTGTTCGTAGCGCTGGTGACGAGATAGGTAACGTAGTAATTTTGTGTGGAATTTTGTCTCTATCCGCTGAAACCATAACGAACTGTTTTTGGCAGCACAACGCTCTTACTTTTTCTCCCTTGATATCACCTACATCGCTTTTGTCTTGTTTACCTCGATTTAAACTTTAATTTGTACTTGTACAGTTCTTTTTTCAGTTCTTGAAGTGAAGTCAATGCCTGAACTCGCTGAATTTTGTGATAGAAAGAGTCGACAAAGTGGTGTACGGGATGAGGGGGACCAACTAATGCTCGGTCACATAAACACAACACTATATGAGGTGAACGAAATGTTTTATTTTGCCATACATCTGTAAACGTAGGTGAATACTGCACAGAACTCTTGGGCGCTTATGAATGTTATAGTTATAATACCCATGGGAAAGTATGTAAACCTGATTGTAAACCTGATCAAGTGGGCTTCGGTCTTGATGGCCACATGCAAATTCTTGAAATCCTAGCATATTTTATCACCAGATCACGTTGGTTGTGATGTTGTCTCTTACAACTCATATATGCATATACATATGTATATATGGACACATATGTAAACATATATATATGTATATACATATATGTAAACGTCTTAATGGGGTGTCTAGTATTTGTGAACTGTTTCTTCAATTTCAGATTTATTTAAGGTCAAAATTTCCGGAAAGCTAACGAAGTGCGGATCGATCTTACCTCGAAAAAAGAAGGAAAATAGGTTTTGTGTGCTCTAGAAAAGTCAGAATTGTACCTTGCTGGGTAAGAATATATTTGGTCCTATGGACATAATTGGTGAGAATGTATGGATCATATTGGGCTCTATTTCAGTTGATAATTTGGACTGTAAGTTGAAATATGTCCGTTTGAGCTTGAAAACGGGCATATTTTTGGACCGTATGTTTCACATATATGTTAGCTAGGCGCAAAAGTCATTTCGCGGACACGATTTTATTGATCAGAACAAGAACCATTAGAATTTACCCATTTTTGCTAACAGCTTTAAAGTTCACTATCCTAGTAATTTAGTGGTTCTCTCGGAGAGGAGTTCTTCAGGAGAATTTTTAGTACGCTTTGGTTTGTTAAGGTTTTTTCTACGTGAAAGCAGATGTACAGGTAATCTGAAAAGTGGTAGATGAAGTCCTATTCGAAACAGAAAGGCTTTGAGGAAAGTTAAATCGCCGAAACGTCAGCCATTGAGCAACAGTAACAACAACAACAACAACAACAACAACGACAGCAACAATGAAAAGTGGTAGAACATTGACATTGATTGATTGACAGGAGGTCCAATGAGGATATGAAACCCTGGTTCTCTTTTCCAGTTTTCCTTCTAACTGATTACGGGTGTTCTGGAATTCTTGTTGAATCTCGTCGATTTTTTCATAATACTGGTATGCTGTGGTCTTGTTGACAAGATTTAAGACGTTTCATTAGACGAATTCATCTGGCGAGATGAATTATCATAACTGTTGACGTATCTATTTATTTGATCTTGTAGACTGATCTTGTTAGGCTGATGCGAGGTTGGTATAAGTTTTCGTTGTCGTTGTTGTTCTTGTTGTCGTCATTATCGTTGTTGTTAGTGTTGTTGTTCAATGGCTGACGTTTCGACGATTTTGCCTTCCTTAGAGCCGTGCTGTTACAAGTGGGACTCAGTACAACCTTGGATCAGCTCAGCAAGATCAGTTTTTAAGATCGTATACATAAATATGTCAACTATTTATGCCAAGGTTCATAGAAAGTCGGTCTTTTGAGCTATCATAACGGGCTTTCGAAACTTTGTGAGGCGTTTAGACGCTTCATTTCAGTGGAGCCACTGAAAGTACGTGTAGTACGTGCAACAAATGGATCGTTTCTATTGCGTGAAAAGGACCATATGGCAACCTTTTTTCATTCCATGCTTTACCAATTTGACAACCTTCTTTCTCTTTCCACTGTTTTGAAAACGACAAGCGAATGCCAATTTTTAATATAACCCCTCAATTATTCTTTTTGTGGGGATAGCTTAGATTGTTGCTTTAAGTGGTCGTCGTTTACTTTTAGAAGTGTAAGACCTTTATGAGGCTGTGAAGTCATGAATACCCATATGTCCGCTGTAAAACGTTACGAACCATCACTGTCCTACCCACTTCAGAAGTCCTTTCCTAACCTATGATCTGAACTCATTTCGAGTTGCTACCATCTCCTTATGTTCAATTTTGTGCTCACGAAACAAAATGATGCCATTGTCATGTTTTGAAAGTATTGTTCCGGTCAACCTAAAAATCATTTTAAACAAGTTTTCAGAAAAAAGCATTATTTTGAAAGTTGTTCGGCAAGAATAATGCTTTACTAAGCTATACAACAACATTGTGCGTAAAAAAGAAATATTTGTTGCAACAAAGTGAATCCGGTGAACTTTTCCAGGACATTCCTGAGGACCAGCGTTATTGGCTTATCCATAAAGGTGGTTACACAATGGTGAGATTAGTTGAATATCTTTCGGATGGGCGAGCTTTGGTGAGGATTGGTGCACGAGAAATGACTGTCGACTCAACTGATATTGACCGAATGAATCCAGCACACTTGGATCGCATCGGTGATTTCGCTTCCCTTCGCTACCTCAATGAGACTAGTGCAGTCCATCTATTGCGCCAGAGGTAAATGTGGTGTAGTTCACATACTGTACTCAAACGTCGATTGATATGCGCTTTTAGGGCTTTTTCTGGAAAATTACTTACTTACTTACTCACTTGACTTATTAAGTAAGTAAATGATTTTACTTACTTAATACTTGGATGGCCCGTACTCACTCACTGGTAGTGTAGGCCCTAGCATAATCTCCATTTTTCGGATATTTGCTGGTTAAGCCATTGTGGCTCCCTGGAATTCCGAGGTCAGCCTGGCCAAAGTCTGCTCCAGGTTTTCACCACCACAGGCAGTCGTAGCCCTTGTGGATCAGAGGGAGATTTGCCACCATGCGATTTTAATACCACGACTATGGTGCATCCTGGTATTGGCTTACTCTTAGATTAAAGTATAAATATAAAGCCTGCTGTTTAGTAAAATACTCAAAATTTAGTGAAATACAGTTACATTTATAGATTTGGTTCTAACTTGCTGTACACTAATGCTGGTCTATCAAGTATCGTGTGCTTAGCATCACTTGAGGAGGATATTGTTGGAGAAGACAGACTTGTTTCATTGTTTAAGGGTTGTCGACGCGGGCAAATGCCCGCCCATATTTGTGCTACTGCACAGCAGATATATAGGTGATTTTTAATCTCGGCATTTAAAAACATCGCGAATTTTTTGTGAACATGAGCATACTTGCTGTTTTTCACTGCAGGAACCTTCAAATGACTGGTCAGGACCACTGTATTGCGCTAACAGGGGTTAGTGGTAGTGGGAAGACGACACAACTTCGCAAACTAGTACGCTATTTTGCTGAGGTGGCCGGTTGGACGCACACTTTGCCTTGTAACCACTTCAGTTCTTCTTTTTTTGGCTTTAATAATGTAGTTGATTCTTCTAGCTACCAGTGCATTCAGATGACAAATTGGCTCTGGCTATGGGCGTTGTTGAAGCGTTTGGTCATGCCTCATCTGCCCTCCATCGAGATTCGACTCGTTTTTTGTATCTTTTTTCACTTGGCTTTGATAAGGCTGCTGCGTTAAGGTTAGTTACTTTTAATCTACTAGATCTGAAAGGACTTTAAGTCATACGTGAAAATGGGCGCAGCAGATCGGTTGGCTCGAGTTGGTGGCAAACTGTTTCTTTGCGGTCGTTTAGTTTGCTTCAAGGGCTTATTTGCTTTATATCCAATCGATATTTTTGCTTATCCAACACACGTTATTTTCACTGTGAATCAGACTTGAAGAAATTTTCTCTACGTTTACTATTACATAGAGAATTTTTTCACACCAGTTTGTCGCAGATGGCTATTGCTTTTGAAGAGAGTGAAGTTTTCACGAAAAATGCTGCTGTTGGGGAGGGTTAAGTCGTGTCTATGTCGTATTTGGGTGAGTGAGGCGCAGTGGTCCGAAGCGCCCTGCAACACACGTGAAATCGAACCCCGCGCCCATGGCCCACCAAGCCTTCCATCTCTTCGGGTCAATAAATTGGTACCAGATCTGTCTGGAAGGACAGCAGCACTGGCTTGACTCATTATAAAGGCCACATATGCTCTCGATCACCGCCAAATGATGCTTAATGAAGTCGAATGCATGGCGGATCCCCTAGGGATTGATCAACGCCGAAAGCTTTATCCTTTTATCCTTTTATTTAGTATTTGAACAACGATTTTCGAAACCAAAATAAAGGATACCTTTTCGTCACGATAAGATCAAAAGCCATTGAAAACTGTATTGATGTAACTGCAGCATAGTTTTATAAAATGGCTATGCGTTCACCATAGTCATTATACTATACAAGTCTTGCTCAAGTACACATATTTTACAGTTGTTCTTCGTAAAATCTATCTCTTTGCCTACCATCTACAACTTTTAAAAATTGCCTGTGAACGTAGCACTTTTTACCTGCAATTTGCCATCTTTAAAGCCTACAACTCTGTAAAGTATGAAGAGGTAATGTCGTACATATGTATTTCGTGAAAAACGAAAAATTGAAATTTCATTTTCTACTTTCTGGTTCTCCTGAAATATCGAGAATAACGATAAATGATCACCTCTGTCCACGATGATTTCGTCCTGGCTGAAGCTTTCTGCAAATTGCGATCTTCATTAGTTGACGGAAAAATTGTGTCGTGGAAACCATCGCACCTTCGACTCACCAAACTTCCTATCCTCCCGTGGCCGGCAAATTAGTAGACCTGTATGGGAAGATAGCAGCACTGACTCGATACGTCAGTAGGCCGCCGCGAGTCATTGTAAAGGCCAGATGTGCATTCAGTCACCTCCAACGATGCCTAATGAAGTCGAATGCATAGCGCATCCCTCAGGGATTGATCTACGCCTGGAGTTGCAGCTTTATGACAAATTATGATTACCGTATGGAATGAGCGGATATGGAAAATTATGAATGTCTACTCGCGATATGTTGTGAAACCAAATACCACTTCTATATAACTACAGTACATTCGCTGTTTGTTCGACAGGTTTTCTTTTCGACGAATAAAGGAATATGAAATGTTCTAAAAACATGAAACGTTGCAATGAACAACTGAAACGATACGTGAAAAACAAATAAAACTGAAACTGCTAATAAAGTATATAATAGGCTAAATTACTGGTTGGAAAAAACGATGAAAGGCACGGGGTCGGTGGATGGAAGCATGTCTTCGCGTTTGGGTTTATATTAACTCATAGAGAGTACGATAAGAAATTAGGTCTCAGATAGATGCCACAAGAACACGGAGCTTAATATGGGGTTCTGTGTTTTAACAACTGTTATTTAGAACTGCTCCATCAGTTCTTTGACATGTTTATGCTTTCAGCGCGGTCGACATTGCAATTGAAAACTCGTGAAATAACTTACTAATTCTCTGTAAAACTACTATTTTTAAACCAGATGAACGTAAGACTATTGATGGTTCCTGTCGTTCACACCTTTGTGATGTTTTCAATGTTCCAGGACTGGCCGATTTCAAGTATCACTTTTGGAAGCCGAGCGTTTAGGAAGAGTATGTGGCGTAGAAGCAGCATTCCATGTGTTTTACTATCTATGGGAAGGTGCGGATGGTGAGCTTCGAGAACGACTTCGGCTAGATTCGATAGAGCAACCATTTATTATACCATATTCCAAGAAGGAGGATAAACAAAGTGCAAAAGAGGTCAGTAGGTTTATCACTGTGCGTGTGGTATTCTTCCGAATTTTATTTTCTAGGCTTGGGAGCGACTTCAACACGCCTTTTTCGAGTTGGGTCTTACACAGAGCCAGTTTGACGCGGTAAACTCAGTTCTCGCAGCAATTCTTCACCTTCAAGCCGCTGGATGCACTCCAGGAAATGCTCAACGAGCACACTTTCTCCGTGTTACTCATGCTCAACAAGCTGCAGCTTTGCTCGGGGTGTCTACCGATGAGCTAGGGGACGCATTGTTTCGTGGTAAAACAAGTGGAAATAAAAGTGCTCTTAAAGTAGCAAATGCTAGGTAAGAGTTGTTTTCTAGAAGCTGATCTTTTTTAATTGTCGCCTCACCTTGACATCGGTGTAAATTCTGAAAGTTGTTTAAATGAAGACTTACTTGGATACTTGGATATTGGGATAGCCCGTCTTCACCGATTGTGCGGGTTCCAGCATAATTTTTCGGGGTTTTGTTGGTTTGGCCTTTGTGGTTCCCTGGAGTCCCGAGGTCAGTCTGGCCAAAGTCTACTCCAGGTCGTGACCACCACAGGCAGTTGCCGCTCTTCTGGATCTTGCAGCATGCGACTAGTTTAATACCAGGACGGTGTTGGATCCTGGTATTTGTGGATCCTTGGTTGGGTTTCCAGATGAAGCGCTGGACTCTTCAGTTTAGGAGATCCTGCTGGGAGATGAGTCTCACGAAGACTCACTGATGATGAATTTGTGATAAGGAGATCAGTTCACTGGATATGGTGGTCTTTTTCTTCCTCACTGAGATTATCGAGTTTTCTTTAACACGTTCACAACAATCCTGATTTTTTCGACAGTTGGTGATGACTTTTCGATAACTAAAACGGTTGGTTAGTAAATTGTTGCTTAAAGCTCATCAGTAAAAGAATCAACTTTTCACTGAAGGAGTACTTCTTTAGTAACTTTACAGGCAAGGGAAGCCTTTTCTGTGTTACTCTATGGATATTGGTAGTCTTTTAAAAACGTTATTGTGGTTTTAGTTCCATTTAAAACACTTCTGTTCAAAAGTTTGAAGAGATTTCAACCCATGCCCTAAAGGTCGAGCAAGATTTCTCGTTTTACTGTTTGAACAAAAAGCCTTGGTAAGACTAAATAATGGGCATTGTTGGCAAAGATCTGTAGATTTTAGTGATTCTTTTCTTTAAATTCTAATAAGGTTATATATTAGCTGAAATAAGCTTTATTCTTGGGCTTATATGAGTGTTAATCAATTTGTTTGGTAGCGCACATGAAAAATGTCTTTGTATAGTATTTTCTGGTGTGGTCTTTACTTTTTGGTTAAAAAACCAATCGTTTTTCATTATGTTTTTTTAATAGACCTAATACTTTCTCATTCTGAAAGTTGAAGGTAAATTTTCATAAAATTCTACGTTCAGTCGTATGGCTCTCACGTCACGACGCTCTGAATCCTCAGAAGTCCTTCTTTCATTTTGTGCTGGTCTCTATCAGGAACTTTTCTACACAGTCGTTGAGCTAATCAATAAAGCTATGTTTTCCAATTCGGCCTTCTCTTGGATTTCGGTTTGTTAATTCTATCCTTGCTAATATTACATATAATTCTTAACTCTTCCTATCTTATAACATATTTGCTGATAAATGAAACAGCGTCGAACTGAGCGTTTTTGAGCATTCAGTGATTGGGTATTTATATTTATCTTTTTTAGGTGTTGGATTACCCTGGTTCGACCTTCCATATAAACTGGACCGAAGGAAAAGCTCACAGAGCTCTTGGACTCAGTGATCTTGTTTACAACTATATTAACGAATGCGTTACTGAGCTTTTCTACAATACCTGTTTTGTAGACGCACAAGAGGTAAATATGTTATTGTGTTTTAAAAGTACTATATATTGTAGTTTAATGTACCGATGATAGAGCGCGTGTGGGGCAGTGTGGTCGGAAGCGCACTGCAATACATGGGATCGATTTCCGCACACCTGGCCAAGTCTTCTATCCTTCTGGGATCGGCAGATTGGTGCCAGACTACTAGACTTGTCTGGGAGGATAGCAGCACTGGATCGATACATCGATGGGCCACCGCGAGTCATTGTGAAGGCCAGATATGTATTCAGTCAACTCCGTACGATGCTCAATGAAGTCGAATGCATGACGCATTTTAATTTAGTGGTGCAAGCACACTTGTTTTTTTTTTCAAAAAACAAATGTTGGTTTTAGTTAGTATACTCATTTCTCTTGCAAGTGTAATACATATTACAATGTTTTACTTTTTATTTCCTGCCTACTACAATTTTTATGGCAGGGTATTAAGCGAAATGCAACCACATTGTTCCTGAGACATTTGGAAAACTCCCGACCGCAGGTATCTGCGGTGGGGAACGAACGCGCTGTTACCCTTTCCGGGGACCAACGCGTTCACCACCACACCATGCAAGTCATTCGTTTCGCCTGTCTCTTAATATCAAATATCTCAACATATTACAATTTTGGTTTCTGTGTACTACTGTACACCCACCAACGGTTTACCGCCTCATCGTGGCCGAGAGGTGTTCCTGGGTGTCGGACTACAATTTACAGGGTGAAATTCATTCCTTTGCAAGGTCTCCCAAGTTGAGAAGGAGTCCGGTGTCTCTATCAGGAAACCTAGCTGAGAGTAAACCAATACCAGGTTCGACCACCGTTCTGGTACCAAGCTAGTCGCAAGGTGGCAAATATCCCTATATTGTACCACAAACGCAGCGACTACTTGGGGTGGTGACGACCTGGGGTAGACTGGCCAGGCTGACCTCTTCAACCACAGTGGCTAAGCCAGAAATACTCCGAAACAATGGAAGTTATTCTCGGGTCCACACACCCAGTGAGGATTAGCCATTCAAGTATGAAGTAAGTAAGTGTTCTATTGTTGATGTTGTAGTTCTGCTGGCTTTTAGGTTTATTCTCATGAGCAAGTCGATGTTGAAGTTACAATGCCTATGGTTTCACCATGTCCACTGACAAGATTGTTGGATCAGAAACAGCAACTAGTTCGTTTCTCACCTTCAATAGTTTGAGTGGAATATTCTTTATGGAAACCATCTTTCTTACAGTTGGCTTGCACCGACATTGACAAGCGTTCCGAGGAGAAACGTGGGTTGTTTGCAATTTTGGAAGAAGAATCATTGTTCCCGGGTGCGACCGACGAGAGTCTTCTTGAACGTTTCTTCATTCATCTGGGAGATGATTCCAGGTATACAGAGCTTCAGTTCTGTTTCCGATTGTAAATGCTCTCTGTGGTAAGAAATGGTTTTGAAGAATACCGGATTTTTTTGACACTTTAGAATGTAGACACTCTAACCTGCTCCATGTCACAAAATATTTTCTTTATTTTTTCACCGTTTTACGAGAAATTCTGTATGGACATTGTCAACTGTGGAATACTCAGTGCTAGAGTGCTGGTTTTTACAGCCTTTGCTATATCTTACTTACTTGGATACCAGGACGGTCCGTCTTCACGAGTTGTGCGGACTCCAACAGATTTGCCATTCGTTTCTTTCTCGCGCAA